GAGGAGGCCTAGTCTATGTGATCTAATTGGGAGGTGATTGGCAGGAGGCGGTCTCTCAGGTAGCCAGGTCCGATACCATGTAGGGCTTTAAAAGTAACGACTAGCACCTTGAAGCGTGTCCGGAGACCAATGGGAAGCCAGTGCAGCTCGCGGAGGATAGGTAGCAGAATGTAGCAGAAAATGGAATTTTTGATTTTGGACGTGACATTTTCTGGAATGAGGCATATAAACTCACAGCTGATACTTTATGCTTTATCATATATATTGGAGATTCATTGTGATCGATACGTCATGGTTATGTTAACTGCTATTGTAACTTCTGTGAACCACCAAGATTGCAGTGCTATAGAAATATTCATTTTTTTTTTCTGTTCAATCATGTCTGATTCTCAGAAACTGTCTGGAACAATGTTTTTCAGAAATGGTTTGCCATTGCTTCTTCCAAGAACTGAGAGAAAGTGACTGGCCCAAGGTCACCCAGATGGCTTTGTGCGTAAGGTGGAACTAGAACTCATAATCTCCCAGTTTTCTATCCTGATGCCTTAACCACCACACCAAACTGGTTCTCTAGTTTCTAGTAATACAAATATACATAAATAATAAAGTTGGCATGACTCATAGCTATATAAAGAGTCCTGATATCCTTTAAGACATGTAGGCATATAATAGCTATTTCCCATTCGTCCATGAAGATCACTATGGTTATTCCTGATCAATTTACTTTTGTCAATGAGAGCACGGCTGCAATAAAACAGCCATCTAAACACTATCGTTAAAGAACAGATGGGATATACGGAAGAAATATCGTTAATTTAAAACATGAATGATGGAGTAAAAAGAAAGAAAGTATGAATCTTTTCCACAAAAATATTACAGGTGTAGAAAGTGATAGCTTTATATCTTTTCAACACAAGCAATATACAGGTATGTATTTCAATGGTCACTGACTTGTAAAATTTAATTCAAAAGCTCAAGGTTCTTTTGAACATTAAATATATCTTGTATGGAATTTAGGCAACTCAGGTTTATCCGTTGGAATAAAGGCTGCAGTAATATTTCTCAAAACTTATTTTGTAAACAGAATCCTGCAAGGGATGAAAATAAAACCTTCTACATGTTAACAAATATGCATGCGGGCATAAAGTCTGAACAGAATTGGTTCAAGTGCAGTGAATGGATAAATGTGGGAATAATTCAGGAGATTCAGTATCAATTTTCCCACAGTTCATAATATACATCATTATAGCAATAAGTCATTAACAAAGATAGGGTTTATACAATATTATAATGCATTATGAAATCACCATCAAATGCCTTTTCAGTTATGAAACTGAGTATTTTTGTATCTCTAAAATTAGTTCAGAGAGTTGGGTGTCCCCAGGGATAATAAGGGATGTTTCTCACGAAATTGTAACCCAGAAAAATCACCAACCTTCCTTCATTAACATAAACCCTTTCTCTTAACTTGATAATTCCAAATTGTTTTCAAAGTGTGAAAACTCTCTAAAGCAGCTCAAGACAAACAAAACTTTTAATATGAAACCATTCTGTCTTTGAAAATTAACCCCATTTTGCATATTGAAATACAATTATTAGGCTCGGTTCACGAAGTAATATTTATGATTAAGTCACTTTGGAGAAACCTGACTAATTATGTGTTGTATCCTTCATTAACTTGAAAGATGTTGGTAAATTCTCTTGATATTTTAATGAGCAATTTCTATTTCATTTCCTCAAAGCATTGTTAACTTAATTTTTCTTTCCGTTGTTAGATGTCAGCTTGTTTTCTTCTGTTTTCAGATTTTTTTTAAGACAACTGGTGGTTTATTTTAAACCTATTTAGTTATGGGTAACTTTACCCCCTTTTCCATTTGAGAATACTTCATTTCTACTAGCGTAGTGTAAAGATCTCCCCTATTGGTACAATTGGTTTGTACTGTTACACTTTTACCTCGGTTCTCTGCTTTTACTGCTTTATATATGTTATTTTTAAAAATGTCAATAAACCATAACAAAATCTTACTTATTTTCTTTCATTATTCTGCTTTGCTTCCACTGATGACTCTTAACTTCCTTGCAGACTGGCAGTATGAGGGTAAGAAGGCCAACTGTGAAACTTCCTGAAAATTGCTTGTCTGTTTTTCACTGTGGCTCTGTTTAAAACTTTGTTGAAATTCCATTCAGTCTAATTAGAGACTTGTGCTGCAATTAAATTTCAATTATGTGTCTTTCTCCTGTGAAGCTTTAATTATGATTTATTTCTGTAATCGTTTCTTCTGTTTTTATTGTGGTTTAAATTACCATCGCATCATCTATGTCTAGAAAAACCCTCTGTTCCAAACTAGTTTCTGTTTAGCACAAGACGTGATTAAAAACAAAACAATGTTGTTTATTGTGTTGTGTTAAGGTAAAGGCCTTGTATTTGTAGATATGATCCAAACATATGAAATTTAAGAAGCAAATTATAGTAAAACAATGTACGTTGGATTTAAAGAAAAATATATTCCTGGATAAAGTTTTCTAAAGAAAAACCTTGTGTTACATGTAGTCATAATTAAGAGTCAGGTAAAATCTGGCTGAACATTATGGAAGTTGATAGCACCGAACACAGATTGTTTTACAACTTTTATTCACCGTACTTTGTTAAAATGATTACCAACAAATTCTGTCTTGCATGCCAAAATTTATAGCCTGTAGAATAACTCTTATTTTTATATTTATAGACTGCAAGTTGGCCAGGGCAGGACCTCCAGCAACAATAGTTCCAATTGATGAAGAAAGTCGGAATGGTGAGTATGTATCTAAATTGTGAGACTATTTCTTATGCCACCGTAAATAATATATACGTTTATTAACAGCAACAAAATGGTTTTGTATTCTGTTTTCTGGTATGTTGAGTTGGGAAGTTTACATGTGTCATGTCCCCATTGGAGTCTGACTCTGAGATGGAAGACGAACAGCTGACAGAGAGCAGGAGAATGGTTCCGTTGGCTGGGGGGGAAACTGGGGAACGGCAAAGTCAGGCTGGGCAGAGCAGGGGAGAGTTAGAACAAGGGAGAGGGGTTCGGATGAAGATCAAGGCCCACCCCCTTCTCATCCTAGAGAGTGCAGGGAAGAACACAGAAAAGAGCAATGGGTTGCGTGACTTACGAGGAAGGAAAGGATCCCGATTCCCTTCACAAGGCGCACCTGGGGATGGAATTTAAAGGAGAGGCAATAGGAAGGGCCGTTTGTCAGGAATGAAGGCCAAGTTCACCTTGTGTAGAGTGGTGGCCTGCATTCCTGGCATTCCTCCCGACTGCTTGAAGTATTGACGACCTTTGGTGTGCATATCTCATCCTGCTGGAATTATCCTTCACTCCCTGGACTCACTGTCATGTTCTGCTGGAATGATGCACTCTGTTTACTGCATTTTGGCTGGAGTATTTGCAGGTTTGTGGAAGACATTTTCTCCAGGCCAGAGAATGAAAGGGATGTTGAGGGCACAGTTGGTGTTAATAAAGGGACTCATACTGGTTCTCTGGCTGTTTTACCTTTGGGCCACAACTTGGGTCATTGCAACATGCTTTTCAGTGATAAATTATTTGCCTAATGTGATTTCAAGTATTAATCTGATGTTTTGCTCTTTAGCCGTTATTGAGAACTGAAGGAAAGATGTAACATCACAGGTTCAGGAGCAAATGGACATCAACTAACATGTTTTTCAGAGTATAAGACGCACCTTTCCCCCCCATAAAAGAGCGTGGAAATATTGGTGCATGTTATACACCAAATACAGCCATTTTGGGGCTCCCGAAGCCCCATCTCTACATCCCATTTTTGTGAAAATGGGCCGTTTTTCACAAAAACTGAGAAGTTTTGGTCTTCCCCCAGTCCCCAGCAGCCCTCTGCAAGCTTCAGCAGGGCTGGGGAAGGCAAAAGTGCCTCCCTTTTTGCTAAATCGGGGTGTTTTTGCCTGCCCCCAGCCCTGTTGAAGTCTGCAGAGTACCTCTGGGGGCCGGGGAAGACAAAAACTTTTTTCCCTTACTTATCTCTTTGAAATCTTGCTGTGTCTTATACACTGGTGCGTCTTATAGTCCGAAAAGTATGGTAATTGATTGGTTTTAGAACTATTGTTTTTTGCTTTCAGCCTTATTTGTGTGGTTTTCAGGCTTCGAACCAAGGCATTCTGCATGACATTGTCCTATGCATTTAAAATCTGAATTTTAGGAGACGTTGCCATTTTAATTAATGCATTTGTACAGGGAATCCTCAACTTACAACCATTCATGTAACAATGATTCAAAGTTGCAATGGTTTCAGAGAGAGTGATTTGTGACTTGTCTTTGCACCATCCTGGCAGATCTCAATCGGGTACTGGCTCACATTTGCAAACATTTTCAGGAGCATGTGATCACTTGATCATGATTTTTGACCTTACCAGCCAGTTTCCAACAAGTAGCATCAATCAGGGAAGCTGGATTTGCTTAATCATGTTGATTCACTTAACAATTGTAGTGATTCACTTAATGACCTTGCTGAAAATGGTTGGAAACTAGGGTCAAGTCACGTGATGTCTCACTTAATGATCCTATTGAGTCTTAATTGTGGTTGTAAATCAAGGATAACTTATATACTAAATCTGGATAAAAGCATTTCAAAAGGAATGAAGGAATGGAGGTGTTATCGGAAGCTATCAGTCTGTGGCTGTGGCTGTGACTGTGACTGTGGCTGTGTGATATGTGTGTGTATGTGAGGAGGAGGGGTGAGGAGGATTATTTATAAAAGTTTCTGAAGTATTTTTCCCTTATTCATCTTTTGGAAAATAACCAAAATTGTTAATTCTCCCAAATAAGAAAATGAAATAAGGGAAGGGAAGGCCATAATATTTTGAAATTATTTCCTTACAGTGGATATGAAATGCTTCTATCATGTGCTTCTATTATGACATTTGGAAATTTGTAGATTTTGAAAACTATCATTAGGGAAGGCATCCAGGAAGTAACGCAGTACACCACTGTTTGGAAAAGTTATTGTTCAGATTGAGATTTCCTGGGAAAATTATAAGGAGACGAATAAAAGAAGTAAAAATAATAATAATCTTGTTTTATTCTGAGGATTTCAATATCCAATAAACTGTGGTGCTTCTGTTTGGTGTAAACTATGAACAAAGTTTCTGACCATCTATGTTTTTTTAACACATACTGCATGTTCCTTTTGTCCTGTTTCCTGTGATCTTGTTCTGTGTTGATCTTAAAAAGCAGGATAAGAAGTTGTATTATTGTATTGGTGACTAGCCTTAAAAAAAAATCTTCATTTTTAAGCCAAAGGAATGTATCAAAAATTCACCCCAGAGACATATTTTAACTAAGTTGTACTGCATATGAGTAGTGAAATACAGACATGGTCGCTCAGTGGCTAAGACGCTGAGCTTATCAATCAGAAGGTCGGCAGTTCAGCAGTTCGAATCCCTAGTGCTACATAATGGAGTGAGCTCCCGTTACTTGTCCCAGCTTCTGCCAACCTAGCAGTTCAAAAGCATGTAAAAAATGCAAGTAGAAAAACAGGGACCACCTTTGCTAACAGCGTTCCATGCACCTTTGGCATTTAGTCATGCCGGCCACATGACCACCGAGACGTCTTTGGAAAGCGCTACCTCTTCAGCTTTGAAAGAGAGATGAGCATCGGGAATGACTAGCACATATGTGCAAGAGGAACCTTTACCTTCTTTTACCTTTTTATGAGTAGTGAAATTATAAATAAACAATTTCAACTTTTCATATTCAATAATGATATGTAAAAGATGAACAAGATGTGTCATAAGTATTTTCCCCTAGTATTCACCTTGCCCACATATAGGGGATATTGCACGTTATAGGAACCATCTTCTCCTATGGTAACTGACCAGATTATTCAATCTTGCAGGGTTGATGTGCTCAGGGTTCCTTCAGTTAAACAATGCAATCTATCAGGATCCCAAAAATGTTTCTTGTCTTTTGCAGCACCTGCTCTCTGGAATGAGGTCTCCTCACCCAAAATTCTCCCAAAGGTGCTTTTTCAAAAGGCAACCCAGATTTTGTTTTTCCTTGGAGACTGACAGGTGGAGGATGGGAGGATTCATATTCCTCCATATTCCTATGGCATAGTCATCTGGTCATTAGCACTCTTTCTGAGAGTCATTGAGGCCACTTGGAGGTTTATTTGTGTCCTCAGCAGGGGTGGGTTTCAGGCGGTTCGTGGCGGTCCCTGTAAGTAACTTCCGGGAACACCGAAGGATCTACCCGCCCGCCCGCGTTTCTTACCCGGTTTTGACGAGTTCTACGCTTCCACGCATGCGCAGAATGCACACAGCGCCTGCGCGATCCTCCAGGAGCAGCTGGAGCATCGCACAGGGGCTAGTACGCATGCATGCACTGTGCACGTGCACGAGGACACCATCGGCCCCGTTCCAAACAAACCGGTTGGAACGGGGCGAGAAACCCACCCCTGGTCCTCAGGCACATCGGAATCGTGCAAATAGGTATGGAACCTCACCGGAATAGCTAAAAGGACTGATATTGTGGGTGATATTGTATCACTCCCTAAAAATCATAGGGGGCTGTTCAATCTTACCATAAACGGGCCCTTTGAGCTCTCATTCAAGCCAGCAGTCCTCTGTGTCCAGAATGTGGATTTGCTGTCTTCAACGTAGTGCCCTTTGTCTTTTAATTTCAGATGGACTGCTGAATCTTGTCCTGATAGGTTTGTTCTCCTATGGTATGCTGTGTGTTTGTGAAGTGGTTGTTTTGTTTTTTTCAATGTACTGTACAGATCTGTACATGTCTCATATACAATGTACAACTGCATTGTACTGCATATCCCATTGCCCAGTTTGTATTTTATCCTTGGGTATTTTGGGGTTTAAAGTGTCCATGTTTACAAGAGCCAAGGTGGCGCAGTGGTTAAATGCAGCACTGCAGGCTACTTCAGCTGACTGCAGNGTCGAGCGCGATTTTGTCCTCCGTGGTTTTGACGGGTCACGACTAGATTAATATTTTAATTGGCTCTTTTGGTTATACTTTGGAATAAGCTAACGGTGGAAAGTTAGTATACAGGATGGAATAATAAATATGATGGGTATTGACATGACTACTGCATTGGAGAATACCTCTAATTTCTTCTAAGCTAAATCCTCTCTGCTATATATCCCAGTACTTCAGAACAGTCATGCAGAATTGTTGGTGTGTTAAAGCAGAAGATTTCTAGAAGTGGCATTCATTTTTTTAGAAACCAGTACTGATGTGCTACTAAATTAATTCCTAGAAGTCGCTAGCATAATTCAAAGGCAAACCAATGTTTTAAGTTGAAATTCAATTCATTAATATCTCAATGTGCAAATAAAAAAAAATGTAACAGAGTCAAAAAGTCAGTGCATTAATGCCCCATACCATTTTAGTTGAGTTTCTCATAATGAAACCATTGTATTAATTTTCATGGCTTTAGAGCTTTTCTGAAGCTTGTGATTCATGTTAAGTTTGACAGCATCCATTACAATTTTATTGGTTTATAATTTCTATGTGCAATTTCCATGCATAGGATTCCATTCTTAGCATCCTGAAGCTTTTGCTATGTTTAGACATAAGGCAAATTAACTGAAAGAGAGATGAGCACGCATTTTCTTTTTTAAAAAAAATATATCTTATATTATCTATTTTCTACCCTATAGAAGTCGTCACTCCGAAAGTGTGAAGTCACACTGATTCTATTTGGGATTCTGCATTTATCAGTTTTATGTTTAAATTATTTTCTCACTAGCAGATCTGAGTTATCGA